AAGCAGGAGAGATGCCACCACCCCCACCTCTCTGGCTGCCGCAGTTTCATGGATGCCACAGAAAACACAAGACTCCTGGATCAGAGACAAAGGACTTGATTAGTCATGGCACAGCGGGCAGCATGGGTTCCATGTTCCCATTAGCTCGCCTGTTCCCCAAGTCCCATGGGGCGATGTAGAGCAGCCAGGTGGATGCAGCATGTTGTCGCGGCTGAGAAATCAGAGCTCAGAAACTCCTAATCTTATAAAATGGCTGCGAGCAAACTTGCCCAACCTTTGCCCTGGAAGAAGACGTTATCTGCATTATCCTGGTCAGGAAACAAATCTGCCCTCTGCCCTGGAGAAAGACACTGTCTCTTCCAAGGCTGTTTGCTGTACAAACACACTGGAAACGATAGTAAGGAACAAAATTTGTCGTGAGAAATGCAGACATGAGTGACCCAGGAAGAATTGTTTCCTAACATCTAACATTTCAACCAAAGGTTTTCTGAAGAGTTTCCTGAAGTTTGGGGGAGGGGAGAGAAGAGGGTTGCAGCAGGATATGATATTGGCCTTTCTCTTTGATATCATACACTAATCTCAGATGTTGACAAATAAAAAATGAATTTGTTTATTTAGATATTGCCCAAATGGGAGTGAGCAGAAGCAGCCAACCCTTGTCTATATCTTTATGGGAGTCTTCTAAATATAAGCTTCTTTGCTTTTGGCTTGTCCTTCTCATCCACTGGAGGACAGCGTAACTCCTATCTGTATGATGCTCAAATAAAGGTATTAACTGAATCCCCATGTGGCACACTTTGGACCGAAATCATTCTTTTAGGCCATGGGCTTTGTGAGATGGGTAGCTTCAACTTTCAAGTAGAATACCAATGTTTTAACTACTATCCAGACCTGGTGAACTGTGACCTTTACCCTTTCCAGGTGCTAAATAAGCGACTTCTGTTTCATCACTCAGTATCTCAGTGAATTCACTGCTGTTTCAAAAAGAATGAAACTAAGAGAGAGTTAGAGCCAAAAATGGCAAAAAGTTATGGCAACTGCTTCTAGATCTAGTTGATTTCTGCATCCAAGCTGAAGCATCCTTTCCAAATCCTGACCCTGTGGAACAGGAGAGGCAGATGACGTTTGTCTGTGGGAAAGAGGCTGTGGTTAGATACCGAGGGAGCTCTGGCAGGACGGGTTGCAGAATTTTGTACCATTTTTTGAGGAATTTCTCACAGACTGAGGCAACTGAAAGCATCACCAGGGCAGATCCTTACAGAGAAGAAACGAAAGAACTTTGAAGACACGTACGTATCCATCTTGTTTGATTTCTTAAAATACAGAATTGCTTCGAAATGATCTCACAGTATCATTTTCTCTTTTGTATATGTAAATATAAATATTTATTTGCAATATAAATATAAATTGCCCTATATGTTTTTTCATATACACACTCTTATGATCCTAAAAATCCTCCAGGTCAAACTGATGCATTGCTCTTTCAATTCTGAAATTATTATAGCATTTTAAACTATATTTTTATCTTGATGCTTTTAATTGAAGCATTATTATAATATGAAAAGTTAAGGATGATTTTTATGTCACTTTGTTGAACCCTCTTACCCAGAGAAGTTTTGTCAGGAGTTTAAAATTAAAACTAACAAAATTCTCTAGTAAAAAGGCTTGAACTATTGCCACATTGTCTTTGTCATTCTGCACATCCAAAAGCCCAATTTATAATACATTGCTTAAACTTAAAATTAACAGTTGCTGGATAAATCAGATGGATTCTACATCATCTGATAGATTGCCAATGACACAAAATACTTATACTAGTTTGCAAGGGCTGCCATAACAAAATACCACAGACTGAGCAGCTTAAACAATAGACATTTATTTTCTCACAGATCTGGAGGCTGGAAGTCCAAGATCAAGGTGCCAGCAGGATTGGTTTCTCCTGAGGCCTCTCTCCTTGGCTGGCAGATGGCCACCTTCTTATTGTGTCGTCACATTCCTGTGCACGCACATTCCTGGTGTCTCTTTCCCTTTTATAAGGACAACAGTCATATTGGATTAGGGCCTCACCCTGATGACATCATTTATCTGTAATTAACCTCTTTAAAGGCCCTATCTCCAAATACAGTCCCATTAGGAGTTAGGGCTTCAGTATGTTAGCCTGAAAATAAAAAGCCGCAATGAAAGGCAAACAAGCATTTATTTGGGATCAAAGAATTGCAATTCTGGGAGCACAGATTCAGGTAGAAACCCAAATAGTGCACCACTAGGGAATTAAAGTCAGGGGCTTTTAAAGGCAAAGAATAGGGAGGTTTGCATTCAAAAGAATTTTAATTGGAGTTGGAGGCAGAGAGCTAGTCCTGGCTAAACATGGATTGACTACCGATTCTATCTTCAGAAAGTCCATAATTATCAGTTTTTGTGGTGAGGTAGTCCGTTCTCCTGCTGACTTCTCAAACAATTGCTCGTAAAACAATTGCCTTTTTGGCCAAGTCCAAAGATTTGGCCCAGTTCAAGGTTCAAGGAACAAGAAGAGCAAAGCAGTCTCCTGGAATGGCTGCTCCAGCTCTATTTTAAAATGACTCCAGTTATGTCAATTTTTCACAAATATATGAATTTGGAGGGGACACAACTCAGTCCGTAACTCTACTGAATACGTAGTTGTGAATGATGAATGAGGAGTGGATTCTCTAATGTCTAGGAGAAGACTTAAACATCTGAGATGTGGTAGACAAGATTTGTACCTTTGCAAAGATCCTGAGAATATCTACATTCAAGTGTTCAAATACAAATTTTCTACTTTTCTGCAATTAAATATTGAAGTAAAATAAGAGGAACTAAAGAAACAAATGAAGAAATAGAATATTGTAAAAGGTCTTCTAGAACTTCAAAACAATGAAGAGCAAGAAATAAAGAAAGGAGATGAAAAAACATGGGATGATTCAGAGGAAAATTTTATGGAGGAAACTATTATCAAGTGGCTTCCAGTTATTTGTTTCCAGTAAACAAAACGTGTTTATTGTGTTTCTATGATGCTTAAGACTGACCATTTGGGAAGAAACTCGTTTCCCAGAATAAAAAGGAAAGGAAAATCACTTTCGTCAAATTTGGGGAAGATTAGTTTACCACTGATGATCTATATTGTATGCTAAGTAGTAAAGAAATTATAATATATTATAAAAAAGAATAAAGAGTAGACGGAAGTGTGATTAATATGAGATTCATTTTATGGATTAATTGATGTTATTAGTGGGCATTGCTGACGCTAACTAAAGATTTATGTGTTTAATTAAGTTTACACCTCACATGAGAAGTTGGCTCTAAAGGTGAAAGCCCTTTTGTCCCAGTGAGTTTCATAAATGAGCCTCGCCTGTGTCCCTTACAGTAGTGGGTGATGGGTGTTAGTGTGTGGGAGGCTATTTTGTGTCTTCTTCACACGCATAGCCCCACTCACAGAGATTCTCCAACCATTAGGTCTGGGGTGAAACTGGCCATGTGCGTGGTTAACAAGCATCCCAAAGATTCTGAAAAGTAGCACGCTATTGTAACGCAAAATTTGACTTCCCCCCCATACCCGCTACCTACCACCCATGGGATGTGGCTGTGGTTCATAAAACCTATTTTCATTAATAAGGAGGAAAACTTTGAAATATAGCAAATTTTGAAAAATATAAAAATTGGTTGCTATTTGGAGCCATCTTTAAAAGAAAAAAAGATACCTTCAACAGGGCCAGACTTTTAAATACACTGAATTGAGCACTTTTGTGGCAAGACATAGCAGTTCTAGAAATGCGTCACTACTGAAAAAGTAAAAATCAAATAAATGTGTTCAAGCCCTTTGATTTCATCTTCTATTATAATGTAAAAACTTCTTGGTTTTATGTGGCTGTAAAGGGCCTGTTGTATCATAGCAGGTACCTTCCTGAGAGCATGTTCTGTGAAGCATGGTAACACTGGATCCACAGATAGGGAGTATGGGGCAGAGGAGCGCAGGGTGCGCTCCGCGGCGAGCAAACTTGCAGGGACCCTAAGGCTACATTTGACCGAGATGATCTTTACAGCTCCTAGTTTTCCAGGAGTCAGGTATTGAGTAAGGGGGAAATGTGAGATTTTATTAATTAGAGGATTGCCTATGATCTGTCAGACAGTGAACCTTTGCTCAGATTGCATCAGAGAAATGCGCACTAACACCAAATAAACTTGTTTCTGAATTTTTTTAAAAACCTGGTATGAATCAATAAAAATAAACTTCTTTCTGGAAAATGCAATGTAAAGTGTTGTTCTCTTTGAACTAATCATATGCCTGAGCACGTGATGTGATGTCGTGTGGATCTCTAGCTAACCTTAAAATGTATGTTTCAAATAGGAAAATATGCCACATTTTTATCACAGAGCTTCTCGGGGAAATACGTTTTTAATATGTACAAGGTCCTATCAGAGGAGCAAGGAAAAAGATCTATTCGAGAAAGGAGCCATTGGGTCAGGAAAAATCATAAGACACTGAAATGGGAAAAAAAGAAACAGTATCCTGTGTTTGGCACCATTCTGGGGGATCTGTTTCAGAAGGGGCTTGCACTTCCATTTTTTGAGCTAGTTTACAATTCAATAAATTGTAGAAAGCTGATAGTAATGCAGATAATTCTTGTTCATAGAACTGCAAATAAACTTGTCTGGTGGAATACAATTGATTATTGCTCTGGCTGTTTACCAGCACCCCTAATTGGCTATAAGCCCTCTGAATTCTCCTTGGAATCTGTGGACCATCATTTTATTCCCTTCTTAATTAATGAGTGAGGTTAAATTGTTTGCAAGTGTGCATTTCATAGGTTTTGAGTCATGATTTTACTTTATTTTAAAAAAGTTATCCTTAAACAGCAGATTATGCTGATATCTATAACAAACTCTATCATACGTCACCCACATTTAACCCTCAACTTTTAAAAGAACAGATTTCAATGGAATGTTTTAAATAAAGCCTAAGACACATTTTCTTTTTCTTTTAGCTTCAGACAAGTTTGACTGAACCAATGACATTATCCAAGTCAATATCTCTTCCTCGTAGTGCGTACTGGCACCACATCACTCGTCAGAACAGCGTTGGAGAAATCTACGGTTTGCAAGGCAAGTAACTTTAAAATAATAAAGCAGGGCCGCCATTAACTTCCTACAGGTGGACCAGGAGTCGTGCAAATTTCTTTGTAATTGCATTGCTTGCTTTTCTTCCATTTCCGTTTATCAGCTGTCACTGGCCACAGTGGCAGCTCTGAGATTTACAGTGGCATTTCTAAGGCTGTCATTTCATAGACTCATGGTAAAAATTATTCCAAAAATCACCGAGGGCTGAGGATCTGATCTGGCACAGGAACTTGACTAAAACATTATACCAAGCATGTTATCTGAAGCTAAAAGTAGCTAATACCAAGATCTGTTTTATGCTGTGTTTTACAAAAGATTTCTTTCTTAGCATCTTTTTTCCATAATGGGATTGAATATCAGTTCAGGAGGCTGACTTCAGGCTCTAATAAAATGCTACATAAACCTACTCACAGAATTTTTAAGGTTTAGCCAAAGCCTTGACATAGAAACCATTTGGGAGGGTGTGGGGTGGAAGGAGACAAATGTAAATACTTTGCTTCTGTTTTTTGCCTAATGGTAAATGGTTGACTAACTAGCATAGGCATGGCTTCCCAGATGAATCAAATTAATAATAGCAAGTATTTGGGGCCGGCCCCGTGGCACAGTGGTTAAGTTTGGCATGCTCCACTTCAGTTGCCTGGGTTTGTGGGTTCGGATCCCAGGTGTGGACCTACACCACTTGCCAGCCATGCTGTGGTGGTGTCCCACATACAAAATAGGGAAAGATTGGCACAGATGTTAGCTCAGGGAAAATCTTCCTCAGCAAAAAATAATAATAATAATAATAGCAAGTATTTGATCACAACAGCAGACACCTCAGCTTTGGGTTCTATTGCTCGCCTTCCCTTTTGTCCTAAAATGAAAAATCTTATTTTTTAGATAAAATATTTGGCTGCAGACAATTGACTAGCAGCTGTCCAAGACTGGGGGAAGCAAGAATTAAGAAAAATAAGGCTAACAAAACACAGCTGAAAACACTCACCCAACAAACATTTTTTGAGCACAGTAGATTTGAATGTAATACACATCCACTAAATAGGCACCCTGGTGAAGGGGTGACCATTGTGACCTTCAGCATAGTCAAGATGCAGAATATTTTTTCCTTTCGTACTTTAGCTTTTGTTCACATTAACAACCCTAAGTGCTTCGACAACAACAAAATTTTCTGTTACAAGCAAACTGAAATAGTGTATTTTTAAAGCAATATTTGCTTGCCATGGTTTCAGACCTCCACTAATGGAATTTGATCAGTGGGAATTAATGACTAAAGATAGATTCTGCATGGGAAAGTGGTCAGAACAATTTTAGTCACTTATTGAAAGTAATTGCATTTTATATTTTAAATGAACCCTCTATGGCCAACTTGACTACCTGTGTTTAACAGGTAGTTATTATCTTTTTGCATTATTTATTTGTATAAGAAAACCTTTAATAAGATAAGGATTAGAGGATGGAAAAGTGGAAGGGGGACTGGTTTGACAATTTCATGAATCAGAAAGAGGAGACATACTTCTCATTCTTTTCTTCCCTCCACAAATGTCAGCAACCACACAGTCAAATTGCCTGAGTCATAACCTTGTAAAATTGATCTTGCTTGTTCTTGTGATTATAAATAATTAGAAAATATGCTTTTGATATGTTTATTTTTATTTAAACATAAACATATATATGTAAATATTCATATTCACTAGAAGAAAACCAGGTCTATGGAATATTTGAATGAGAAAATTAAAATGATCAAATTTCTAAGCAAAACGAAAGTGAGATGTTAATACAAATAAGTTGGAAACAGGTTGGAAGCAATGTAATGATAACTTTGAGTTTTGACAAGTGTTTGGTCTATAATTCCACCAAATAAAAGACTGTTGTTTTCTTGGTAGCTTTGGGAAACTTTTCTCTGAAGGGAGGGCTGAGATTTAGACTGATACACACCTTTAGAAATAATTTCATATGTATCTAGCAAAAAATACCAGAACGCATTGAAATTTCTTCAAACACTGCGAAAATTATTGAAGGACAATGTTGATTTACACAATAGGATAGAATCAATAACTGACTAGAATACTCTAGGATTTATCTCACTAAGATTAATTTCCAACAAAGTTAAGGGCTTGAAATGCCTTTTCAATGATAATGAACAATTTACTTACATGGTCTCAATATCACATTCTTCTTTGGTTGTTTGTTGTTTTTGTGTAACAAAAAATACCCATCGACTAAGGTAACTACTGCAAGTCAAATAAACATAGAATGTAATCTATGTAAGTTACACGTCACTGTACCGTGGGTTTTTTTTCTTGATTGTACACTTTTTAGAGCAATACTTTTTACCATTTTATATACTCCTCATTTTATGATTATATCATATATAGATAGATCACAGATCGGTAGATAATATATGATAAATAAATATAGGTAAAAACTTGTAAGTGGTATGTTTTATTCTCTTTTGTTCTGTTGAGGCAACCAAGATAAGCAGATGACAAGAGCCTTTTGACCATAGTTTTTTATTGGGGTGTAATCTTCTATGCCCTAATGGAATCTGGGCAGAATAAAACTACTGAAACAAGAAAGAAATAAAAATAGAAACACTGAACCTCAGCACCCCTTCATGCGCATTTACATTTTTCTTCACTAAACTGCATGTGAAAGTGTGGTTGTTTTGCTTCTCAGCCTCTCAGTTGTGCTCCTTGAAGTGACATCACCTCTTCTTTACAAAGAGGAGAATATAGTCAGGCCACCACCATCATTGATCTTCCAGAGACAAAGGGACAGTCTGGCAGTGGCAGGTGTTATATCATCAAGGGAACCACAGGGAGCATTGGCGAATAAAAATATATCTTTAGAAGTTTTTCATCATATTTTTTTACATTTTAACTGTGAAGCTGAGCTCAATATGAATTAAATTCAGCAGGCTTTCACCCAGAAGGTAAAGGGGGAAAAGTTTTATATATTTAAAGTTGAATAGATTGGGATTCGTTAATGAGCACCACATGTACTAGAATTGAAAAAAATTCATGGTGTGAAAACAAATACATTCTCCATTAAGACTTACCACTGACTTTGATTGCCTGTCACCCTCAAAATTGCACTTCGCTCGGTTTTATTGTATTCACTTCTGTCATCCATTCTATCACTATAGAAGCAAGACGTACTCTAAAAGACCCACACGTCAATACTGACATCCTGCATTTACTTTAATGTGTGGAAAAGAAGTGCCATATAGTCTGCCAGATCTCTCCATGCTACTCCCAGAACAGTGCTCAGAAAGTACGTTCTTATGACTTCCCCGGTGTACTCTTGCTCTCTCGAGTCAAAAGATTGAGAAACAGAATAATTAGTTTTCAAGTACACATTGGTTAAGTCCTAGGCAGCTACTGTTTAAATCTCTACCTCTAAGTGGCTTGTAATAGGCTAGTTCTGTCACCTCTTCTTGAAGAAGTGGTAAAGACTTTTTCTTTTCTCGGGTTTTGCCAAATAATAAGGATGATTGATTCGTATTAGGATGTAATTTTCTATTTGTATTTCTCTAACTTCTGCATTTATGAGAAATGTTCATGTCACAACACATTATAGAGATGTTTTCTCTAGACTTAGGGAAACCTAAACCAGTAAGGGAAGGAAACATGATTTTGAACACTTGACTCAAAAGTAAATGCTTAAAAATTATCTTTTTTTTTAATAGAGATAGAATTGTGATTTTAGTGCTAAGGCCTTCAGCAGAAAATGTGTTGAGAGCGTGAGGAACACTCAATAAAACAAAAAGAAAGAGAGGGAGGGAGAGAGGAAAAGAAAAAGGAAAAAGAAAGAAAGAAACCCTGTAAGGAGGTGAGAGTTTCTCTGACTGTAAGGCTCTCACCTTGACCTGTAATCACCATTCTACATATTTATATGATGGACTATAGAGCAGGGTCTTTAAGTCAGGATTTGTGAAGATGACAAAAGCATTTATTGAAAATGACAAATCTAACTAGTAAAAACTGTAAAAAGACAAAATTCAAGAGAGTAAATTTTAAAGATCGCGTTGGCTTTGTTCAACAATTCATGAATCAGGCAGCGTCCCGTATAACAGACAGAAAGGAGCTCGGAAGAGCTGTGCAAAATGAAAGACTATAGGCAGAAGAGGGCGGGACAAGGAAGTTGCTAGCAAAGAGTGGATTGTTTCAGGCAAGGTCACCTTCCTTTGGGGGACAACAGAGGGTCTATCAGACAGATGACCTCACTAGTGCTGACCAGGTAATTCCAGATTGACTGGTTTAAGATTCCACCCCTGGAAGAAGTTAAAACTGTGATTAAGTTAGATGTTAAGTCTTGGTTTGTTGACGTGGGCTTAGCGCAAGTGACTCCATTTTGGGCCATTGTCTCTTTTTTAACAAAACCATTGGTGGTACCAGGCTCACTGCAGGCACTCGCTAAGCCTTTGTTGAATTAAAAAATGCCTTATAAAGGATATACAGAAGGGACGGCATTGCTACACACCTCCTTCCTGAGGCAAGTTCTCAACTAGTGTTGCAAAAGGAGGAGCGTCTAGGTCCACTTGCAGCCTCTCCTGGGAAGCCCGTCCTCTTCTCCTCGTGCATGCTCAGGGCTTTGTTGCTTATCTGCTTCTTGCTTTAGGATCGCTTTTACTCAACACAGGCGCTTGCTCCTGCTGGGCTTTATTTTGGTAAGCACAGGAAATGCTGTGAGAAGCTGTAGATCTGCCCCCTTACCCTCATAGCTGGACTTCTATCTCTCTGCACCTGCCGCTTTCCCTCTGGAAAAGTTCTTCCACAAGCGATACTGATGAGAAAGTGGGCCAAGAATGTGAGCTGAAAATGGTCACCCGTGAGCAGGCTTAGGGGACTGTGAGCCATCCTTAAACTTTCCCTGATACGTTTAATTACTTATTTTTACACAAATTGTATGGGCTGTACTGTCACTCATTTTTGAACAGCTTGAACAACCTCACTCTTTGAATCAAGGATGATTGGGGATGCTGTTTG